TTTGAAACGTCCGTGCTCATTTCTCGTAGCATCTGATGCCAGTTATCTCTACCCTACCGACTGAATTGTCGTAGTCATAAACATTGCTTTTACTACAAAATGTATCACTAAAACAATACGAAATATTTTTTTACTGAAAATTTAACTATTAAACTGTATTCTCTGAAAATTTCAGCCCCATAGGTTGTAAAATGCAGCGACAGGAAATTTAAAAAAAAAAAAAATTTTCTTGGCTCCTATTGGTTGTAGAACACTCTTTTTTTTTTAAACATTTAGAGAAAAATTGTGCCTTTATAATGAAAAAAGTTTCGAAACGATTCGCTTAATATTTGTTGAGTTATTCCATTTTGCAGGTAAGCACTTTTTTGCAATCAATTTTGCGAGGTCCCTGTTGGAAGAATCAATAAGCCATAAAACCAAACTGAAAGTACAACTCTTAAGAAAGAAAATGAGCCCAAATAGAACATTCAACGACTTGCAAAAGTTGTAGAAATTAATTTGCAAAAAAGTGATTTTTTAATAAACAAATGGATTTTTGCTAAAAACATGCAACCAAAAAATTCAAAAAAAAAACTACATATACTATACGTCATAAACAATAGTCCATAACATTTTCAGATGTCTACATTACAAACTGTTTGTTTAAACAATCAAACAAAAAACAGCGATTTTGAACTGTTTTTTGTAATTTATAAAAAAAATCCGAAATGAATTTTAACGCAACAGGCCTCATTTTGTAGATATTTAAAATGCCTACAACTTTTGTATAAGACATTTCTTTATAAAATGTAAGGGAAATTTCATAGAAGCAAAAACAAGTTTTTCGGTCCTTGAGCAGCTCATAAAAAAAAAAAGAAAAAACTAGCTATTGGAATTTAGATACGTTATTTCTAAACATCATAACGAAGACCATTATTCTGAGATATCATGGTTGGCATTTATTTGATGCGAAACCCCCCTATTAATTGGTCTATTAGTGTAATAAGCGCACTCTATCCTTATATCTCTATGACAGCTACCTTACTACACGTTTAGCGCGGCCTTCATTTAACTTTTGCTTTCGAACATTTTGATATGTGAATATTTCCTGTGGTTCCATAGTACAAGCTTTCCCTCAGATGACTTGGCCATCTTATCTACTGGGTACTATTTACAGGGCACATTAATCATTTTAAGCACATCCCAACTCCTAACAGGTATCAGGTTAACAGATGGATCTCCTCTAAGTTGTATAGTTGTAGTGGGTATCATTATATCCCAAGACAAGTTATTTGTATAATTACAATTGAATTTAAATCGATATTCGTAAAATCTTAAATTAATGTTGATCAGTGATTCCATACTTATTTTCGTTTCCAAACTTACTATCAACTTGAAAAATATGGTTAAAAGTATAGATGCCCGCTAACAGTTGTTATTGCTACCTTTTATTTTAACACTTATATTTACAAGGTGGATGCAACAAAACTTTTTTGTATATCACCAGGAAAGGGTTATTTTCATAATTTAAAGGATAACATACATTACGTTTGACATTTTCAGGAAAAGAAGATAAATTCTTCGCATTCGCAGAATTGAATTACATTATTGTCTTAAGAAATTTCTACAATCGCTATTTTTCCAATGAAATGCGATGAAAACAACCACTTACTCATGGATGTTGTTTGTAAAATTGTTTTATACCTGTATTTTTTTTTGGTACTTAATACTTAATTCATATTAATGTGTTGTAGGAATACCTGCCTTTGTAATTATAAACTCTAGGATTTCAGTCTAAAAAAAAAAAAAAGATTACATTTTATTTCAATGACCAAAAATTCTGGACAAGTTCTTCTGGTCCTACCTTATATTAAACACATAGTAATTTTATTTAAACTTGAACTTTTATTTAAGATATAACATAACTGATTTAACTATCTGGTTTTCCTTTCTATGAAAAACCTGAACTGTACGTGACGCTCAACAAAACTTGATTAGAATGTCAAGCTTCAATTTTATTTCGTTAATCGATTTTGTTGTTCTTTCGTTTTCATATCGCCACATATAAATACTTTGTTCTTAACTTCGTTGACTCTGACACTCTGATTTCCTTGGTTTTCGAACATTATTCCCTCAATGTAGATCCTTTTTATCATTTGTGATAGCCTGACAGCTTATCATTTTTTTCCTGTGCTTATTGTTCAATTTTTGTTTTTCTGACTTATGATTTTGTGTTGTTTATCCATCTTTGGATTACTTTAACTATCTGATATACACTTCTAAAGAACTGAGTTTTTTGTAATAGTAAGATCTTGCTTTTTATTTCCTGTTTTTGTGTCCCTTTTCTTATTTTTATTTATTCCTAATTATAATTAAAGGCCTTTTAGATAAGTGAATGTTAAAAATCAATTGTAATAAGGCAACTGGTCAATTGACATTCATGTTGACATTCATGAATTTTATTATGTACTTTTCTACTGCTATTTTTTTTCAAATGATGTAAGATAAATATTAGAAGACACATGAAATACTCTGCAACTAGCCTCTCTGTTATGCTTTGCTTATCACTTTACGTGTTCCGTCAAGAGACGGAAATCAAACGAAGCGTTCATATACGGTTTAACTCAAATACACCTTTTCTCTCGTGTCTTCTCTGCGCCCGCTGAAGCTCATCGCTGGTTGGCTCGCAGCTGGCCAATGTACTAGCGGCAGTGGGTGGGGCGTCGAGACTTTACGCGTGTGCTTGTTGGCTCTCACTCGCTCTATTGCTTTTTGCACGCCTAACCGCACGCATCTCCTTTGCTACTAACGCCTGCATTTTGCTGCCTTCCCGCTTCCAGGTCATCGTGCACCAGGAGTCGACGGCTGTACCAGACGTTTCCCACCAGAGGATCACGCCAACGCCAAGTCACCTCATCCTTTCATTATACTTGCTCTTACACTTTCAATCATTTAACCTCCCTCTGTATCTTTCCCAAATTCTCTCCTAACCCCTTTCCACGTCTTCCTCTATCTCTCTCTCTCTCTTTCTCTCTGCTGATCTCTTGCTCCTATACATCTGACATTCTCTTTTTAACCCTTTCCTATTAAATATATATCTATATCCCTCTCAATTTTATACTATCTTCGCCTTTGTTTTCAAGCCGTTTCCTACTTGTTGTTATCTCTCCATTTCTTTACATTCTACATACTTAATTTCATTTCATCCATTTTCCCGTTCTTTCTCGTTCGTGCACGCTCCACATTTTCATTCAACCCTTCCCCAGTGGCTGTACATTCCACTTCTCTCTCTCTCTCTCTCTCTCTCTCTCTCTCTCTACTTCTCTGTAGTCCACCATTTTGCTACTATTACCAGGGTATATTCTACATCCTCGCCAACCCAACCAACTTGCTATCGCTCTCTCCCCTCGCATAAGTTTTTTCGCGTCGTTAGTCCAGTACGCCTCTCGAGACGGAATAGTTAACTCGTCGCCCGATCCATGGATTGCAGCGCCAGCTGCGTCTGAATTGCCGCAAGGGGCAATTCTGCATTTTCAGACGTTGGTCCGCTTTTACCAGCTTTGCGCTGACTCGTGCGATCAAGAGGGCCCACCAGTTTGCAAAGGAATCCTATTGCTGCCTTCATTAATTCCTCGCATACTCACACACCAGAAGTCGTTACCAGTAGGTCCTTCCGTACAATCACACACATTCGCATTTACGCACACAAGACCAGTCCGCATTTGAAATTCCGCATTTTCGTATCTGATTAGTTATCAATTTGATCAATTTGTATCTGCCTTGATTTCTAAATAAATCTGGGTTTTATATGCGGCTGGCTTTTTCCCATTAAATTTGTTTCTTAATTTATTAATCTCTGCTCAATTTCAGGTAATCAACGTATCACAACCCCCCATTACTAATATTTCAATTCTCAACTTATTTTTTTTTATTATAATTTATTTTTATTTCACTTCCCTTTATTTATATTTATTTCCTCCACCCCTTTTTCTATTTTACTTCTGTTTCTTATTTTATTAATTTTTTTTATTGATTTCTTGTTACGTGAGCCCCCTCCTCCTATTTTTTGTTCATTCTGCCCTAATCCCTTTTTAATTTGGACCAGGCAATCCATGTGAGATTGGCTGTGCTCCCACACGACATTTTACGTATGCATTCAAATTCGTACTCATATATTATAAATGTAACAAAAAACTATTAAACGTTTTTTTCTATCTTAAATCTCAAATAAGATACAGTTCTATTTGTTAATAAATCTTATTTAAGTCATATATGATGTTTTCATTATATTTACAAAGCTTGAGGCGTGACAATGCTTGTTTTTTAATTTTTTTTCATTACTTACAATTTTTTTTAATTATCTCAACATAGTTAGGGCTTAAATAAATGATTCGAAATGAACAAAATTAAAGTTTTGACCTTTAATTTGTTTGTTGCACAGTTTGCTTATGCTTATTAAGTACATTTAATATCATTTGTATATTAAAACTTGGTGCTATTATTTGACAATTATTATATTTTTTATTGCAATAATGCAATTCGTACAATCAGGCTTACACAGAGTAACTACCTTTTTTGCCTCAACAGTTAAAATTGCTTTTTTAAGCGATCCACAAAATTTAATTAAGTATTTTAATTGTTGAGGTATTTTTGATGTTCGCGCTGCCCGTCACGATACGCTGTGCTGTATGTGTGTGTGTGTGCCAGCCCTCCCGAGGCTCCCTCTGTGTGAGACTGCTGTTCCCCTCTGATGTCGATTCGCGCGCCTAGGCACTGCTCATCGAGACCGTATAGTGTGCGCACGATTACCTCCACACATTGTATACTCCTCTTACTTTCATTTTTCCAAATAAAGCTTTTAACTCTTGAAGTGCTTCCTTTATTGATACAGACCTTATCAGGTTATGGGCCCAGGACACACAGTAAGAGTGGACAAAGCGGTGAAGGTAAAGGGTGAGCTGTGAACGTTACAAGTGACATTGACCTTTTTTTGAGAAAGTGAATTTTACGCGAGTGCAAAAATGGCGGCCGAAATATCAACGAGACAAGTCGACAAGTTCAACGGAACGAACTTCCGCTTGTGGAAATTTCAACTGCAGAACTTGTTCGTCGCAAACGGGATCGATGGTGTAGTCACCGGTGATCGGGTAAAGCCTGAGGACCTCACGACAGCCGATGGAAAGGCCTGGGTCAAGGAGGACGCCAAGGCAAAGTTCGTCATGTCGTCGACGATGGACCAGGAGCAGATCGATCACGTCCTGACCTGCACAACCGCCAAAGAGATGTGGGACAGGCTCGTCACCATACACGAGCAAAATTCAGCGACACACAAGCTGTTGCTCATTCAACGGTTCCATGAATACCGGATGGACTCGGGAGATTCAGTTGCCGCGCATGTGACGAAGGTCACCAATATGGCACGACAGCTGAAGGACCTGGACGAAGGAGTCACCGAAGTCATGATAATAGCTAAAATACTAGCAGGTTTGCCGACAAAATTTCGAGGCTTTCGAAGTGCCTGGAACAGCGTGGATCCAACAAGGCAAACAGTGGAGTATCTGCAACAGCGTCTCTTGGAAGAAGAATCGCTCATGGAAGCCGACGGTGAAGAGAAAAACGCGCTCTCGGCAACAATTAGAAAGAGCGACAAGAAGGACACCGGGGAAAAGAGCAAAAGAGGTAAAAAG